GATCAGATCTTAAACAAGACTATAGAAGAGAGCTTCCCAAACTTCAGGAAAAACATTATCATATAAATACAAGCACATACAACACCAAATAGACAGGAGCTGAAAAGAAACTCCCCATGGCCTATCACAGTGAAAACACTAAATGTACAGAACAAAGAAAGAATACCGAAACTGCAAAAGAAAACAGCTATGCACATATAAAGGAAAACCCATCAGAATTACAGCTGACTTATCAATGCAAACTATTAAAGCCAAAAGAGCCTGGAACAAAGTATTCCCAGTTCTAAATGACCATTGATGCCAGCCCAGAATATTTTAACCAGCAAAATTGTCTATTATACTTGAATGGGAAAGAAAAATCTTCCACGACATAAGTAGGCTGAAAGAATACATGTCCACAAAACCAGGCCTTCAAAGAATACTTGAAGCAATGCCAAGAATGGAAAAAGGAACAACTAAACCCCAGGGGCAACAGAAAGAAACTAAATGAAAGCAAAATTGTGGAAACACAAAATTAGACAAAAAAATGCAAACAGTAATCAAAATAATGGCAACTGATACACATCGTTCAATAATAACTTTAAATATCAATGGACTGGACTCCCAAGGCAAAAGACAAATGCTAGTTGAATGGAATAAGAAACAAAATTCATCCTTTTGTTGTCTGCGAGCCACCCATCTGACTTGCAAGGACAGGCACTACCATAAGATGAAAGGATGGAAAAGAATATTCCAAGCAAATGGCACTAAGAAACAAGCAGGGGTTGCAATTCTAATATCTGACAAAATAAATTTTAAACAAAAACTAACAAGAAGAGATAAAGATGATCACTTCATTCTGATCAAAGGAACAATTAACCAAGAAGATATTACAATCATACACATATGTGCACCAATTTCTAGTACATTCAAATTCATAAGAAAAAAACCACATGACTTAAGACACAGATTAACTCCAACTCAGTAATAATAGAGGACTTCAATACCCTACCGTATCCATTAGGTCAACCGAACAAAGAATATACAGAGAGACACCTGAATTAAATGATAACATATATCAAATAGACCTTAACAGATATATTCCAAATATTCCATCCAAGCATCAAAGAATACACTTTCTACTCAGCACCCCATGGAGCTGTCTCAAAAATTGACCACATAATGGGGCACAAAACAAACCTTAACAAATATAAAAATATTGAAATAATTCCATCCATTCTAGCAGACCATAACACAAGAAAGCTTAACTTAAACACCAAAAGAAGCCATGGTAACTACAATAACTCCTGGAGATTAAACAACAGACTCCTGAATGATGAATGGGTCAGAAAAGAAATTAAGAAAGAAATAAAAGTATTCCTGGAATATGTGTCAGGAACCAGTCATGCCTGTCCATTATCTCTACTCCTTTTCAATACAGTGTTTGAAACTCCTGCTAGAGCAATAAGAGAAGGAACCTAAAGGAGTACTAATTAGGAAAGAAGAAGTCAAATCATCCCTTTTTACAGATGATATGTTCCTATACCTAAGAGATTCCAAAAATTACACCAGAAAACTCCTGGAACTGATCAACACTTACAAAATTAATTTATAAAAATTATTTCTATATACCAATAGCAAGCAATCAGAAAAAGAATACATGGAAACACTCCCATTCACAATAGCCTCAAAAAAATTAAATATCTCAGAATAAACCTGACCAAAGATATTAAAGGTCTCTACAACAAAATTTTAAATCTTTAAAGAAAGAGACTGATGAAGACACCAGGAGATAAAAGTACCTCCCAAACTTATGGATTAGAAGAACTAATATTGTGAAAATGACCACCTATCAAAAGCAACACATAGATTCAATGCAATCCCCCCCAAAAAATCCATATGACATACATCACAGAATTAAAAAACTATCCTCAAATTCATATTAAAGCACAAAAGTCCCCAGATAGCCAGAATAACCCTGAGCACAAAGAGGAACACTGGGGGATTACTATACCAGATCTCAAAATATACTACAGAGCTATGGTCATAAAAACAGCATGATACTGACACAAAAATAGACACACAGATCAATGGAACATTACTGAAGACCCAAACTGGAGTACACGCAATTTCAGCCACCTGATACTTGACAAAGGTGCCAAGAACACAAAATGGAGGAACGACAGCATCTTCAACAAATGGTGCTGGCAAAACTGGATCCTAACCTATAGAAGAATGAAACTAGATCCTTATCTTTCACCTTGCAAAAAAGTCAGCTCCAAATGGATCAAAGACTTCAATGTCAAACTGGAAACCCTGAAACTATTAGAAGAAAATATTGGCATTACCTTACAAGATATAGGTGTAGGAAAGGATTTTCTAAATCGGACAGAAGTTGCTCAGGAATTAAGGTCAGCAATCACAGGTGGGACCTCATTAAATTAAAAAGCTTCTGTACAGCAAAATAAACAATCAAAAAAGTGAAGAGAAAACCCACAGAATGGGAAAATATCTTCACCAGTGACACATCTGACAGAGGTTTAACATCTAGAATATATAAAGAACTCAAAAAACAAAGAATCAAGACCAAAATGACCCAATTAAAAGATGGCCTAAAGATCTTAACAGTTCTGAGGAAGAAACAATGATAGCTAAGAAACATCTAAAAAAGTGTTCAACATCCTTAGTAAGTAGGGAAATGCAAATTAAAACCACCCTAAGGTATCACCTTACCCCAGTCAGACTAAGATCAAGAGAAAAAATGATAACAAATGCTTGCAAGAATGTGGAGAAAGGGGAACCCTCATTGACTTCTGGTGGGATTGCAAACTCAAGCAACTCCTATGGAAAACAGTGCAGAGAACTCTAAAGAAACTAAAAATGAATCTACTACATGACCTGGTTATATCACTTCTTGGCATATACACCCAAAGGACTCATTCTACTGTAGAGACACTTGTACAACCATGTTTGTTGCTGCTCTTTTCACAATAGCTAAGAGATGAAGCAACCTAAGTGCCCCTCAACTGACGAGTGGTTAATAAAAATGTGGTATATTTACACAATGGAGTTCTATACAGCAGTAAAGAAAGATGAAATAATGAAATTGGCAGGTAAATGGATGGATCTAGAAACTGTTATACTAAGAGAACTAACACAGACTCAGAAAAATAAAAGACGTATGTTCTCTCTCATTGTGGATCCTATCACCAAATCCTTTTAAATTCCATGGCCTTTTAATAAGATGATACTGTACATCTCTCAAAATGTCCTGTAACTGTGGTGAGTCACCTGTCCTCTTGTTCAGGGAGGCCATGGAGACCCCACCAGGTGGACTTAAACCAGTGTCCAGTCTACACAGAGGAGGGTCAACTCAGAGGAAATATCTCACCCATGCTTCCAAGTGAAGCCAGACATGGTCAAGCAGGATCTTGGACTTACCTTCACATGGATGGAACTGGTTAAAAAAAAAGAATCAGGGGCTCCCCCCAAGCCCATATGACCCCTGAGGAACAGATCTTCAAATGACCTTAAGTATAAATATAAACTGATTTATTTGGGCCAACCATATGGTCTTAAACATGCAAAAGGAAAATATAACCAAAGAGTAAAGTCATCAGTATATTTAAGATTTCAAGGGATTACACTTCCCAGACATAAGGCTGAAGTCCATATAAAAAGTTATTTAGACACTTATTTCTCATTGATGATTTTGTTCCTAATCAGAATGTGCTGCTCAGATGTAAGACTTCAAATCTTGGTCTGCAATACTGTAGTGCCCACCTGTGGCTAATGGACATAACCCGCTATGGTTCTAAAATGATACCTAAATTTTTTCTCTCCCCTATTTACAAGCCTTTGAGAGTGAACTGACACTGATTCTAACCACTCCAACAGCTATCAAAACGCCTGAAAGCAAATCCTGAATCCATCACTCTAGAGTCCAGCCTTGACAGACAAAGAAAAATGAGGAGGAACCCAATAGAGGGATGCTTTTGGAAGCTATTGTCAAGAAATTCCAGTGGACTCTCATATGAATATTTGAAATTTGCCCTGTTGTGACTTTTTTCCAGTTCCCTGTCTAGAATTTGTAATGCTAATTATTCTTGTCATTACTTCTCCTTCTCATCTCTTATTCACCAGTTAAGGAATTCCTTTTCCCCTTACAGGATAAGGGTTATGCAGTTTAGGAGTCTTTTAGATAGACCCACTGAAGGGATACCCCAATTGCCTCACACTGCATCCCTGCTCAGCATGGAAGAAGCCAGAAGGGTTGGTGTCCCGATTCCCTATTGGCAATTTGGGTAACCTCTTCAGATGGTGTGATAAGAATAGGAGGTAGGAATTGGCTAGGTAGCTAGGGTAAAAAGACCCCAAAGAAAAGTAACTGGTTTCTTGGCTAAAAGTCAAAATGTCCTTGCGCTTCTTAGCAACATACTCCATTCCAAAGGCCAAAAATGTTGAAAGTATTTGGGAGTTGTTATCTGATCCTTAAAAGATTTCAGGTTTACCTCTTCAGAGGGGGGAATAGTAGAGCAGCAAAAAGCCCCGTTTATAAAAAAGAAGAAAATACATGAAGTTATCAGAAAAAAAGTGATGGGGAGATATGGGAGAAGTTGGATGGGAGGGAGTGGGCATGGATCTGATCACAACACCTTATATGCATGTATGAAATTCTCAATGAATTATTTAAAAATAAATAAATATCAGTCCCATGAGAAAAGAAGGCATGAGAACAGTGCTAAGGCGTACTTACAGTAGCGCCCCAAAGCCGTCTGAGAGGGAAGCCTGTTGTGAGGCATTATGTTGTCTTTACCCTATACTCAAGAGTTCAGGACAGGTGTCACACATAAGTGGCATAATGTTAATGTAAGAGCAAAATACTTCATGGAATTCAAAATGATAATATACTACAATTCAGATGCTAACAGCACACACAGGTTTTAAACATTACCATGACAATATTTGTTCTCATTTCTTGAAATTTCCTCAAATTTCTTCCCATCTAAATAAATACTTACGAGAGCAGGTGGCTGTCTGCCATTCTAGACATTGTCCATATGGAAAAGAGATTATGTAAGCATTAGAGTCAACACATCGCTTTGTACTGCTGCACCACATACATTCCATGCCATTGCTGGTACAGTTGGAGCACGAGGTCCGTAGAGAACATGGCTTTTTGCATGGTCTTGCATTTTGATTTGGGCTAACTAGAATAAATCAACAAATGCAATTATTTGCTAACCCTATTTTAAAACAAATGGAAGCTTTTTGTCTCTTTTGCTATTTAAGCAATGTTTCAAATGCAAAAACTGCATAATTATAACATAAGGTAATAGTAATAATAAAGACAACATCTATACTACTTAAATTTATTACTGAATTTGAAGATTATTAATTCCTTTTTAAGATTTTTTTATTATTTCTAAAGTATAAGTTGTACAGTTTTTAAACTGTAAATAGTCCTGTAATCTGAAACCAACATTTTTTTCATTAGCTCAATACTATGTACACCAACAATATTTACCTTCCCAGCCACAAGTTTTTCCACAAATATTTTAGCTTTTATATAAGTAAATGTCATTATCAGTGACTGTGTCTCAAATATAATAAGCAAAAACATACAACTTACTTTAAAATAGAGTAGTTATCATATCCATTAGGATATCACTTTCAAAAACAAAAACAAAAACTTGGCAAGGATGTTGAAAATGTGGAAACCATGCACTGCTGATAGGAATGTAAAGTGATGCACCCTCTATGGGAAAAAGTTTAACAATTCCTCAAAAGATTAAACAGTTACTACATGATTCAACAAATCCATTTGTGACCATGTACCCAAAGGAAAGAAATCAAATATTCAAACAGATGTCTATAGACCCACATCCTCAATAGTCAAAAAGTAAAAGCAAACCACATGTCCACTAATGGATGAATGAATGAATGAACGAAATGTGTTCTATAAATACATTAAACTATTCTTCAGCCTTAAGTATGAAGGAAATTCTGATGCATGCTACAAGATGGTTAAATTTTGAAGACATTATGCTAAGAGAACGAGCAGATCACAAAAGTACAAAGTGGTAAGACTCTCCTACATGAAGTACCTAAAGTGGTCAAATTTACAGACAACAGAATTGTGCTTTGCAGGGGCCAAGGAAATACAGAATAAGGAAGGTTTTATTGTTTAACAAGTAGGGTTTTTGTTTGCTTGTTTGGGGGTTTGTTGTTGTTATTTGTTTTGGGTTTTTTTAATCTTTTCGAGACAGGGTCTCCCTGTATCCCCAACTGGCCTGGAATTTGCTATGTAGACCCAGCTGGCCTTGAACTCACAGAGCTCTACCTGCCTCTGCCTCTGCCTCTGCCTCCTGAGAGCTGGGATTAAAGGTCCACCATGACACCCCACTTTTAGAGCTTTAATTTTGCCAAGTAGTTTTGGAGATGGATAACAGGGCTGGTTGGCAACAATGGGGTACACTAAATGCCACAGAATGAATACTTACAAAGTGGTTAAAATGGTAAGATTTCATATAATACATATAACCACAATAAAATATTAAAAGAATTCAAATATTTCCTAACCCACTTAACAAAAATTAATTTCAAAAATACAACAATATTTCTTTTTACTTAACTAAAATAACATGTGTATAAAATTAAAATTGGTGGGGTTGGAGAGATGGCTCAGTGGTTAAGAGCACTGGCTCCTCTTGCAGATGACCCAGGATTGGTTCCCAGCACTCACATGGCAGCTAACAACCATCTGTAACTCCAGTTCCAGGAGAATCTAACACCCTCTTCTGACCTCCACATGCATTGCACAACAGGGGGACACTTAACCTACATGCAGACAATACACTCATACACATAAAATAATAACACTTTTTTGTCATTTGGTAGCAGAACTTGTTTAGATATCAATTTTTTATTTATTTTTATTAAATTTTGTAGTTCATACAGAATATCTCAAACAATCTGAATCATCCTTACAGGCCTGTTCCCACCAGCACCCTCCCATTGCCCCCCACCCCACTGGAATTCATATACTCTGTCCTGGGTGTTAAGGTCCACTATGTAAAAAGATTAAAATTGGTCTCAATTAGTCATTAATCTTAAAGACAAATCTTTCCTTCAAACATTATTCTTTTTTTGAGTGTATGAGTGTCTTGCCCACATGTTTTACCTATATACAATAAGAAGTGCACCTGTATCATGCAATGTACACAGTGGCCAGAAGAAAGTGTGCATGAGATCCACCGAAACTGGAGTTATGGATGGTTGCTAGCCTCAGTGTGGGTGGCTAGGAACCAAGCCCAGGTCCTCTAGAATAACAGTAAGTGTTTTTAACTGCTGACCCATCTCTCTAGCCCCTCAAACATTATTATGATAAAAGTAAAAGAGGTTAACAAATTAAGAATACATTATTGCAATACTGTAACCATAACTACATGTTCATAACAATACTTTATCAATTAGGAAATAAAGATTATATAAGAACTTTTATTTTCACAAGTTACTGTGACATCAATAACTGGGGTATGTTGACAAAAATAAATACCTGCAAGTAAGTATCATAAAAAAAAATTGTGCAAGTTACTTCAAACTACAGTCTAGAAGGAGATGGTCAGCAGTGGGCTTAAAACATATTTTTAAAGAAAGGCTAACTTACTGGACTACTTACCAACAGGCTTTTCACAGACAAGGCCATCTGCCATTGATGTGCAAGGATTTGCTTTTAAGCCTGCCACTGCAGCCCTTTCCAAATATGCACAGAATCCAGAATCATTTGGTTCGCCAGGAAGCCACTGCAGTGTTGTATTTGTAAAAGGAGACATGTCCTCCCATCCCCAGTAGGATATATTGATCTTACGTAATCCTACCCAAGGTGACACTTTCTGTAAACAATAGGAAATAGGCATTAAAAAAGGTCAAGTGTAAAACTAGTGCATCATATTCCTTAGCAAACAGTTCATTATCCTTAAAAATCATATTTTAAAGTATATGGAACCACCTTTCGAATCACTTTTACTACAACTGATAACTTCAGTCTATGCTGAAGAATGATATAGAATTGAACACTGTTTTGAAGCACGGGGCTTTGAGTTTAGCTACATGATCAGGTGATTTATTTAGTCCTTGTTCATCTGGGGGGGGGGTGCTGTCTTCTATAAAATCAGAGTATAAGTATCTTACCTAAGTTCCTCATGAATCAAAATCATTTAAATATGTAACATTTTGCTACTGCTCTATTACTAAAAACTTAAAGGTTAATCATTTACAGGAATAAGAATCTACAGATAAGTTCATTGTCTGCATTATGCATGAAAGCAGAAAAAAATCAATAAATGAAATGTGGATTCTTAACGGAGACATCATAGCAAGGTTTCACATAAGTACAGAATAAATAACTTCCCATTCAGACTTCCACTGCTACACTTAGACTTATATGCAATTTTAGATAAACTAATGTCAGCCACCTTTCCTAACAGGAAGAACAAGGAATGGACAAAGACTGATTATCACGAGGAAAATAGAAAAGAGGCTGACAAAGGCCACATAACTACTCTTGATACTCTTACTAATGTTTCAAACCTAGCTTGAAATTAAAATCAATTCTGCATTCATATAGTTTATTTTAGCCATTAATCAAAAGCAAAGATACAGTTAGGCATGGTGAGACATATCTTTAATCCCAGCACTAAAGAAGTAGAGGCAAGTGGAGCTCTGTGATATAGAGGCCAGTTTAGTCTACAAAGCAAATTCCAGGCTACCTGGGTCTACAGAAAAACCCTTTCTCAAAAAACAAAAAAATGAAAGAGCAAAGATATATTATAAATCCAAGTTCCACTAATTATGGACATATGGACACATCTACTTTTAATATATATAATAATACATTTTCTAAGACACTTAGCTATCAACAGTTATTATAACAGAAAATTGTTTCAAACCATCATTATCAAGGTAGAGAAACATACGTTTCTAATATCATAGTCACTAACAATATAGAAATACTTTTATATTCAGTATTCATTCTAATTACATTATATAAATGAACCCGGGGGGAGGTTAAAACTTAGTCATAGACCTTTAAATGTATAAGTGTATAAATATAATGAATTTCATACAGTAAATGCCCAACAGATACTTTTTGGATAAAATTAAAGTGTCTCAGGCTGGACGTGGTGGTGCACGCCTTTAATCCCAGCACTTGGGAGACAGAGGCAGACGGACCTCTGTGAGTTCAAGGACAGCCTGGTCTATACAGTGAGTTCCAGGACAGCTGGGGCTACAGGGAGACCCTGTCTGAAAAAGACCAAAAAAAAAAAAATTAAAGTGTCTCATGAATTTTCACTATGACAATAGAGCCCAAATGGCCATAAGAATGCAGTACACATCGCAATTAATCAATAAATTTTGCTAAATAAAGATCATTAGAATAAAATGGTTATTTTCCACCATCTGCCACAAGGCTGAGACAGAGGTAGGATTTAATAGTGTTTGTAATTATAAAAACATACATGCTACTTCACATTGTAATCATCATGTATTTCACACATTTATTCTGAGAGATATTTTGATATCAAAAAGCTACAACATATTTAAACTTGCTTTATAATACCAGTCAGATAATCAATCTAACACAGATATTTCAGATTAACAATGTGTTTCATAATACAGCAATTCTTCCTATATTCCTAACTATCTACAGCAAAAACAAGTCATTTAAAATGAAATATTACTCCCTAACTCATCATGATAAGAATCTGAGAGGAAAAAAAGGGAAACAAAAATGAAGCCAGTGATAAAACATTTATAAAGTAACTATTACTCAGTAAATGAGCCAGATGGGCAATTGAAAATGAAAGATAAATTACTACATTATGAAAATGTACTGCAGTACACCATAAATCATTGTAACATTTCATTAACCATTTCTGATAAGTAAGTGATCATTTGACCCTAGATATCTGTTCAAAGTGCATGAATTTGTCCATTTTTATTTGTCAAAGAAGGGTTATCTTAGGTTTATGCAACCTCAATGACTCAGAATATAATTCATTTTGTATTAAAGATATGCCTAATGGAATGTCACCTTGAAGTTTCCACTTTGAAATTCTGAGAAAAGCTCTTTCTGATAAAACAAAACATCTCTCATTGATACAGCATACTACTCAGCAAACTATCAAATGTGAGTTTATTCCACATCCCAAACAGTTATTCAGCCAATCTTTATGATTTAAAATAATAGGAGAGAAAATTAGTTGCTACAAGAATATTTGAAATATACAACTTTTCTAAGTGAGCACAGTTCAAGGTTCTGCTGTAAGACTATTTGTTAAAAATAACTGATGTTAAACACAGAAAAAAATCAAGAGCTTCAATGCCAAGTTCTAGTGATTTCCAAAACTCAGAAACATGTGAATCTGCAAGTTAAAGGCTGTTTATGTGACAGGTATTCGACTGAATTAATTTTTACATGTTAAAGGGTAAAATGTCAATTACATATAAAAAATAAGCTGGATGTAGTGGCATATGTCTTTACTCCCACAACTTTGGAGGCAGAGACAGGCAGACCTCTGTGAGATCGAGGCCAGCCTGGTCTACATAGAAAGTTCCAGACCAGCTGAGGCTATAGAAAGAACATGTCTCAAAAAAAAAAAGAATGCAGCTCATAACATCACAAAAATATAACAGATCTTACATTCTCTATGTTCCATATGCTTAAAATAAAGTAAAACTTTATTAAAAAATTATTTTTTAAGTATAAAAATCAAAAGACTGTCCTATCCGACACCACATACATCATACAGTCCAGCCATTCAGTTGGTAGTTCTTAAGCAAGAGAAAGAAAAAAAAAAAAGTTGGCTTTTTCTAGCATTCTTACAAACATCTTCAAGTGCTGGCCAACTTCAAATCCACAAGCACTGTCTAGGGCATTCCTCCAGGAACTTTCCATAAATACAAAACACTGTTTAGTTGTTCTTATCTTTAGGTGTTACCCTGAGGGTATCTATCATTGCAAGAACCACACTTTAATATAATTGTACTCGACTCTCTCTCCTCTAAAACCTCTGCGAACAGAAACTGTCTTTTGATCTCTGTTTTCTCATAAGGCAGATTATAAAATACACTAAAGGTGTTCAATAAATGTGCAACAAATAAATAATGATCTATCCTTTGGAGAAAAAACAACTACAGTTAATAACAATGGTTTTGTGGATTGTACGTTAATATAAATTTAATTAATGCTTTTTTATCTTATTACAAGGCACAAAAAAAATCTGCTATAATTTCCAGGAATTATTATTGTGAGATCCACTTCAAAATAAGTGAATATTTATAAAAGCTGAGATTCAAAATTAATTTAACAATTTTGTTAATGAGAGTGTGGACTTTGACTCTACAGACAGTACAAGATATTAAAAATTGTATTATTCATCATTGGTATTTAGGAGACATATATACATTCATTAAAAACTAGGGTAGGAAATAACAGTGAACTGACTATCCACTCAAAACTTAAATAATTCATCATGGAACAATTTAAGCACTAGAGCAGGTCATTTGTGGTGGTACAGGCCTGTAACCCCAGCATCCGCAGACAGGAAGGAAGGCCAGCCTGGACTCACAGCAAAACACAGTGAGAGGAAGGGAGAAGAGAAGGTGGAGAGAGTATGTGGGGGTGGGAGGGTTAGACTCAGGCAAATATTTTTCTACAATTAGTGTCTTTACTAACCATCAAATAAAACCATTTAGCTATCTAATGCCTTCTCCTCTAAATAATGAAACCTGGAAATAGTGGTAACAGCAGTGATAGAAACAGAAATACAAAAATAATGGTCCATAAATAGAAATAACAATGGTAAGAATACACAAAATGAATATAAATGTAAAAATGCATGTATTGCATAGAATATATCATTTATTATTCAAATTAACACTAAATACAGCTATGATTATTATCCTAGTTCACAAATGAGTAACACAGAACTAGAGGGGTTAACCTGCCACTAAACTGAAGAGATAAGGAACACATCCAGATTCCACAATCTTCACCTCTGATGTCTGCTATGCTGCTTAAACACCCACTGCAATAAGGAAATGTTCCTTTAGTGTTTCTACAGCAAGGAATTGGTAGTATTTATTTCAAAACTTCTCAAGCTAAACCATCTCTGCCACACTATACACAGTAGAGTTGTAATTCATAAATGCATGGGGGTTTGGGGGGGTATTTTTGTTTATGTTTTTGTTTTTGAGACAGGGTCTCTCTATAGCCCCAGCTGTCCTGGAACTCACTGTGTAGAACCAGGCTGGCCTTGCATGTTTTTAAGAGAATTCTTTCATATGAAATGGTTTCCAGGTAAGGTAATGCAGCAGTTTATTGTAAATCATGAGATATGTAACAAAGTGCAACATGAACATACTAAAGGAATCTCCTGCCAGGTCACTCTTGAAGTTAGTTCCATTTTTCTTTCTAAGGTTTAGCGTGAACATAATTTATTTTTTAAAGAAGCAAAAAGTATGAATCGTATCTAAGAATTACAGGAATTATCTTCAGAGCATACTTCCATAATACAAATAAATACAGCGTTTACCTGTTGTGTATACTTCTGTATTTCATCCAGTACGAATTCTACTTCTTTTGAAGTTGTTAAAGAGGCAAGATTCCCACTAAGATTATAGCAATAAAGTTTTGCATTGTCATAACTTTCTCTACTGGAATTGATTCTAAGACAAGCATCCCCAATATGATTCCATCCTTCTCCACAAAGATGAGCTAATTAAAGGAAAAAGAATTGTTATCTTATTTTTGTTACGAAAAAGTATCTCTCTTTCAATTATTTCAGAATTGTAAGCATGATCACTATGTTAATTTAAATTTTTAAAATCGACGTTTTCAAAATATCTTAATATCCCAAACAAAATCTGATAATTTGGTAGAGTAAAAACAAACAAAAAAAATCCTAACTCTTTGTTGAATTGTTAAACAACATAAGCTATGGATCTATATGGATCTATAACACTTATTAACTAGACTGACTGCCAAGATTTCTCTGTAATTTAGTGTATTTGCATATATCTCAAAATACAAAATTATTATACTATATATGTCTCCAGTCCAAGTTACAAAAGCTAAGACCATTTTAAGAGAAAATAGCCAAGCTGACCTCGGTGTGCCAAGCCTATAATCCCAGCATTCAAGAGGCAGAGACAAGAGAATTGCATGTTCAAGGCCGGCCTGGGCTACACAGGCTAGGCTGAGCTAAAAGTGAGACCCTCAAAAAAAGGGTGGAAGAGGGAGAGAGAAGGAGGAAAAGGAAAGGACAGAGGAAGATTGACAAAGACTACTTCAAAATCATTTCTGTCTGTGAGGCTAAATAACATCAAATTCTAATTTCTACAGCTTAGCTCCATTATTTAGAAGAGAGTTTGGTTCTTGACTCTTTACAAGTAGAGCAACTGTCCTATCTATCTAAAAAGCTAAAATCACTGCTTTCTAGTATCTATTCTTATATAGTTATTTGTGTCTTCCTAGAAGTTAAAAATAACTATTCAACAGGTTCATACTAAACTTTAAACAACATCTATTCTGTAAAACATTTTATTTTCATATTAAATGTATCATATTAAATATATCTGGGCCCCTTTTTTGTATTACTTGATTTAAGGCAGTCTCATATTTTGGTCTTTAACTCTCAAAAATGTTTAGGGTCCCCAGATATTTCTCTTTTTAAAAAATTTTTAATTTTTTTATTTTTCAGAATTTCTTACGAGTATTATCTTTGTATTATTTCCAGCCCTGCGAGTCCCCACCAACTCCTCCCACATCTCCAGACTTCCTTTCCATTTCCTGTCCTCTTGTCTGATTATTATTGCTACATATACATACATGCATTTATAAAATCATATATGTGTAATATAATGCACTGAGTCCATTTAGTGGTGCTCACATGTATCCAAGATCTTTCTTGATACACATAACATAGACTGATTTTTGGCCATATTAAACTACATTTATTACTTTATAGTAATAATTTTAAGAAACATTAGAAATACAGTTTTACAGCTGCTAGGATGCTTTCCCCTTTTATGTTCTTTAAACAGATTAAAGGAGATATATCTCCAAACTCCCTTTCTAAGACAAAGTCTCTAATATTTCAAATGAAATCCCTAGCATTCAAAAACTAAGGTGGAAGGTAGTAGGTTTAAAGAAGATAGAAAAATGATGTTAATTATAGGATCTTTAGTGCGGGGCTTAGATATCTTCAAGATTTTCCACATTCTACATATTTAAATTTTTACACAATAAAATAATGTGGGAAAACATCAAAACAAGTCTTGAAATTTGAAAGGAATACTAAGTTTTGTAGCACTGTTTTACATATCTTGCAAGTCTATTTAATGTCTGACATAAAGACAACTGTATTCTCACATCTGCTTCTATATGCACCATACAGTAAGTAAACTTTTCTACCCATGACTTCTGTGGTGGTCTGAACAAGAAATGCCTCCCATAGGCTTGAGAATCTGAACACTTGCTCCCCCTTTGGTGGTGCTATTTGAGGAGGCTATAGAACCTTTAGGAGGCAGAGCTTTGATTCAGAAAGTATGTCACTGGAGGCAGGCTTTGACACTTTATAGCCTTTCTCTCTCTCTCTCTCTCTCTCCCTCTCCCTCCCTCCCTCCCTCTCCCTCTCTCTCTCTCTCTCTCTCTCTCTCCCTCAGCAAGTGCTCTATGATTCTACCTTTCTACCGTTTATCTTATTATTATAATGTCCTAGATACTACATTGCTATTGTTCTTATGCTGTTTTTTATTTATTGATCTCTCTCTCACTCCCCCTCCCCCCCCCTCTCCCTCTCCCTCTCCCCCCACCACTCTCTCATTCTCTGGCCCTCTGCTTCCTCTGTATGGATGGGAAATGGGATCAGCCAGCTTCCTCCTGCTCCTGCCACCTGCTGCCATGCCTTCCCCATCCATCTGCAACCCTAAGACAAATTCTTTCTTCCTTAAGTTGCTTTTGAACATGATATTTTATTACAGAAACAGAAAAGTAACTAGTACAATTTATTTTTGCTTAAGAAATTTGAGGTGTGCTTAAGTATACAATAATATAAAATAGGTATACAAATCAAACATTTCCTGTAATATATAACAAGCTTTACTTTTAAACAATTTCTGACATATGATTTTCATTTATCCAAAGACAAGCAAATTTGTATACTAATGTGGTAGATATATTTGATTATTTTTACATAAAGATTTAAATCTTGGCTGAATATTTGTCGCTGTAGGACACAAAACATCTTCAATGTTTTTCAGAGTTCACTGATACTTTTTTGCTTATAATCATCAACGTCAAGAACCCCATGTCCCATAATTACATAGCACAAAATGGCAGAAGTATGTTTAGGGTCACTGAACAAATTCTTAGAAATTTTGCTCTAATCTACAACCAAAATTCATTTAATCATTTTTATGGAAAGTCTGCAACTCAAATAGTAATTTTCAAAATTAGTCATTAAAACACAATACAATACAAAGAAATACTAATTTGACACTCACCTGATGAGAAATGGTGACAGAAAAATATTAAAAGCATATGTTTTCTATAATTAAACCATTATTTTTCTATAAGAACAAAAAGGTTTGTATATGCAGTAAGAACTCTATAATTCAATAGTCTTGAATCTAAGCCAACATGTTTCAGGCGCTATCTTTGGTGTTGCATGACAGCATGCCCAGGCCAAAGTGCACATATTCTATGTTCAAAACTCAGGTTGCAGTGAAATCACAGGATACAACACAGGTGAGCACTGCCAGAAACTTCAGATTAATTAAGCATTTGTTTTCTAACTAATTCCTCTTACTACTGTCAAGTTTTCCACAGCCCCTGTGTGACCCACTATGGGGTAACCCAGAGTTTCAGAAGCTGGGTTCAGTAGCAGTCTTTCAAGTCTTATGGAATTCAAAGAACCAAGTAACTTTTCTTTTTAACAAAAAGTTTTGTTAAATTATGGGGGAAGGCAATCAACACCTTAGTGAACCAAGAAGGGAATTAAGTTACTTTTGTATATATCTATTTTTTCAATAAGACAAAAAAGTAGATTACTGACAAATATTACAAATGAAAAATGTTGTGACTTTGAGGCTTAATTATAGTAATGCAGGAAATATTTTATTGGATTAGGCTTTTGAAGTAATAAGCATCATCTAATACACGAATTTGTAAGATTTCAGGTATTAATTCTCTGATGAATTTTGCAACACTTTTTAAAATTAAGTAGGCTCAGAAATTTTCCTTTGAAAAAAAAAAAAAAACAGGTACATAGAGAGCCCAAAAAAGTAAACAAAATAAAATTTCTTGTTAATAATAATCCTAATACTAAAACCAGACAGGAACATCCTGGCACTTGGGCAGCTGAGGCAGTCACCTTGCTGTGAGATCAGGCAGGGCCAGAATGGTCTACATAGTTCCAGGCCAGTTGAGGCTACAGGAATACCCAACCTCAAAAATAAAAACAGAAAACAAAACACACACACACACACACACACACACACACACACACACATGCACACACGCACGCACGCACGCACGCACGCAACCCTACTTTTCAGATCCCATTTCATCCCATTCAGAATGGCATCATGAGGAATTACAAGTGACAAGAAACGCTGGCATGGATGTGGTGAAAGGAGAATTCCCACGCACTGTTGGTGGGAGTGTAAAACTAGGTACAGTCACTGTGAAAATCAGTCTACAGGTTTCGCAAAAAAAAACTAAAAGTAAGCATGCCATATGACCCAGCTAGAATCGTCTAGGGCATATATCAAACATAATTTATATCTTTCTACAGAGGTGTTTGGATATTTATGTTCGCTGATGCTCTACTCATAAGAGCTATGAAACAGAATCAACCTAGATGTGCATCAACAGAGAAATGGGTAAGAAAAACATAGAACATATATACAATGGTATAGTCTTCAGCTGTATGAAAAATCATGAAATTTTCAGGTAAATGGATGAAATTGGAAAATGTTATACTCAGTAAGGTAACTAAGGCCCAGGAAGACAAACACTGTATTTTTCTCTCATAAAAAAATCCTAGCTTCAAATCTTTTGTTTTGTGTGTTTAACTTGGAGCACAAGTGGAAGCCAGAAAACAGAAAGGGGCCTTCTTTAGAGGGAGACACATTAAGGAAGGGAAGACGGTGGATTATAGATAAAACAAAAGTAGAGTGGTGGAATACTGAATCTGGAAAGGCATTATGGGAGAAACCAGAGGGTGGATGTGAGCAATCTACCCAAAAGAACAGCATATGAAAAGCAATATAGAAACCCACTATCTCACAACCCAATTATAAAGAAAAAAACCTGAAGGGATAGTACAATACATGTGAAAGGAAAGAAGAGGAGGGATACTGAGGGTTAAAGTATTAAGTGGAAAATGGGACGGGGGATGAGGTAGAGAAGGGGGTAGTAGGTGGGGTAACTAAAACTGTGGGTGTATGAAAAAGCTTTATAGAAGCCCACTAGTTAGTAAGCTAATTTTTAAAAAGAGGGTTCAAACAGAATTTCTCTACATAGATGGGCAATGTTGCTCCCACACTACAAGGCATGAGATATCTTTCTACAAGTTATTGGTCAGGGAAGCCCCAAAGGATTCCAGAACAACATAGGCTATTGCCATTATCTTTGGTTACTCTCCATAACTACATGGTAAGACTCTCTTGCTGGATATATTACATACTTATGATTGGAGAACATAAGGAAACCAGTCTCAAACCTCCCCAGACAGTTTTCACAGTGCCAGAAGGTACTATGCAAGCTGCTGAGGGAGAAAGACATCAATGTTCTTACCCACAATACTGCAGCTGCAATACCAAACTGCCAGGTTAGATATGCTTACTGGTACAATAGCAGCACAACTGTTTTAGGGTAATGAACTGCTTCCTAACTGGATTTCAGATTAGGTCCACAGGGAAGAAGTGCTTTCCTGGTGTTGTAATTCTGGTAAGAGCCCATGGCTAGGGAGGTCATGGACCCTAGTGTGTTTCCTGTAAGTGTGAGTTTGCTAACTGGTCATGCTGCTAAAGTGCCTTCGAAATATTTATATTTATAATAACCCATAGACCTGGCTGTTCTTAAGCTTCCTTTTGCAGTGGGCAACAGTTAATAGAGAGGTATAACTGGTCAAAATGTGGAGAAAAATAGACAGAGCTACAGGGACGTGGAGGAAGAGGTGGTTAAGGAGGAGCTAGAAAATGCTACCTTCTGGATGTAACATGGCTAATGCAGCCATAATAAACTCACAGCAGATGTGGTTACTTGCACAAGACTACACAAGATCAACCTAGCCAAAATTCCAGCACAGATATGGTAAAAGATCTCCAGGCCCCACTTCTTACTGGGGAGCTAATGGCAGCTGATTCTTGCTAGGATGCGAGAATCACTTATCTAGAGGATGCAGTCACTGGTAGGATCCCCAGGTACCAATGGAAGGTCCCACACTCAGGCACAAATAGGCAGCACTAACTGGACTAAATGCATTATTTAGAAAAATAAAAGAAAGACTTGAGTTGGGAGAGGGAACCTGCTAAGGGTGCTATGGGGATGTGGTAGTTTAAATCAGAATGTACCCCACAGGCTCCAAGTATTTGGACAATTTATCCCTAGTTTGTGATGTTCTTTGGAAGGTTTTAGGAGGTGTGACCATGCTGGAGGAAGGATGTCATTGGGGTGGGATTTGGGAGTTCTTAAACCTTGCCAGATTTCAAGTTTCTATGCTGCCTGTGCCTGCTTGAAGATGTGAGCTTCCTGCTCCAGCAACCTCTGACATCATACCTCCTCCCTTCCCCACCCCACCCCCATTAAGAATACTAATCCCTCTGGAATCTTAAACCAAATAAACTCTTCCTTCTATAAGTTGCTCTTGGTGTTTTACCACAGCAACATAAAGTAACTAATGCAGAAGCTGTTAGGATCCCCATTCCTTTGGAAGGCTGCACACTCATGCACAAATGGCCAGCACTAACTGGACTAAGTAGGTTATCTAAAAAAAATAAGAGGGGACTGGAGAGATGGCCCAGCAGTTAAGAACACTGGCTGCTTTGCAGAGGACCAGGGTTCTATTCCCAGCACGCACATGGCAGCTACAACTGTCCATAATTCCAGTTGCAGAGGATCTGATGCCCCCTTCTGTCCTCCACAGGCATTGCACGAGATGGGTGCACTTAAGACACGTGCAGGCAATATACTCATACAGATAAAATAAAAATAATAAAATATTTTTAAGAGGCACCCTGACCGTTGCAGACTGCCTGGGAATGCCTGAATCCCGTCTGCACTCAGGAGACAGAGGAAGGTCTATGAAACTGAGGCCAGTCTGGTCTACATAGTGAATTCCAGGCCAGTTGGGGCTACAGTGAGACTCTGCCTCAAGAAAACAACAACAATAATTTCATTTACCAAATTATGAAGTATTTACCTGGCAAAGCCTGACACTCTTGTTGTCGCTGATCCCACTGGCAATTCAAGTTTAGTGAACAGCTTTTGCAGCTTGTGAGTTTGTTACAAATCTGCTCATTTCTTACATGACATTTAGTATAATTTCTGACAGACTAGAAAATTGAAAGACAAAACATGTTATTTTTCGCCACTGAACAAACACAGATTCTTAAACAGCAAGTATTTTTAAGCTCCTACTGAACTTTAAAATATAGATTTTTAATTCCAAACACAACTCTATTAAATTATAATTTTTCTCAACTATGCATTAGATTATTAAACAAAATTTGGCTTAAATCTACCTCTTTATATAGTGAACTGTAACCTAACATTATATAAGCAAATTTTACTGACTAGAATATATTCTTGTAACAAACAGCAAGTCTGAGACAATCAGATAAACCAAGAGTTAGTTAACCACAACATGCCAGCTAATAAGACCATGTCCCCATGATACAAATGCCATGCTGTAAGCAACTGAGCCACTTCTGCATATATCATTTGGATTCTTCCTCTTGTTTGCTTTTGTTTATATTTTTTTGTTTTGCTTTCAGTCTATAAATTAATACCTAACCATACTAATGGTAGGAGCTTGCTGAGTCTCTACAGGCTCAGGGCACTGTCCAATTCAGGAACTGTTTTTTGCTAAATAAACTCTACTAAATTTTGTTTGTCTAAAGCTTTTTTCAGTAAGATATAAAACTACTGCTCTCAGAATATTCTGAAAAGTACACAATTTGAAACAGAGTCTAATGAAAACTTTTTCAGTAAATCTGAAAACAGACTTTAAATTCAATAAGGTTAACAAATGAAATCATTTCCTTAATTATAGCATTGGTTTATTCTAATTTTAATGACACTATCATGAAAATGAATCGGTAAATAGTAAAAATAGTTTCAAAAAGCCTCTAATATCTGCTACAGTCTGAAAAGTGAAATTATTATCCTAATACTTCAAACTAATAATGGGTTTAATATTTAATCTTTCCATATTATATTTTGTTCATAAAGACTACAAACAACCTGAAAAGTTACATTTTTTTCAATTGTACTACATCATGTTATCATATTTCAACTAATTCTAGCAATGAAAAGGTAAAGGTTGAGAGGATAAAGAGGAAAGAACAAAGGGTGTATCAGAACATTAGCAGCCACAATTTATATATACCTGGGTAAAGCTACTTCACAGATTTTCATCAATATCAGTGATAAAATCTACCTCATCAATACAGATACAAAATTTGAGGCTCAAGACTTCCTATGACTGCATTTCAGCAAAATACTTAAATGCTGCATCCTGAGCCTCCAACCCACCTCCTAATCTTTTTCATGTCTATAGATGCAAATCCTTATGTTTGACTTTCTCCTATTACTTTTCAGTCAGGCTAAAGTTAAAATTAAGGGTAAAAGTTAAAATTAAGATGTAACTATCTCATACACAAAAATTATTGCAAAAGTACACTTTAAGGTTTGTTAAATGTCACCTACTGACTATTGATAAAGTATTGTACTTCCTTTATACAATGCACTACAGGATAAGTGAGATAGCTCAGCAGGTAAAAGTGTATGCTGCCAAGACTGGGGACCTGAGTTTAATTCCCAGAACCCATATGGTGGAAAGAGAGAATTGACTCTGGAAGTTGTCCTCTGACCTCCACATACACACACATACTATGGTATGTTATATCCACACACACACATATATATATATATATATACACAAATACATAAATACATACATATATATAAATAAATGTTTTTAAATGCACTATAGTCACCTCTACAACAAGAGTATTAACTCCCTTTTATTTGTATGTATATGATGTGTGCCAATTCATATGTGCATATTTTTGTGAGTTCTGGCACGCATGCTACAGTTCATGTGCTGAGGTCAGAGAATAGCCCCAGATGTCAGTCCTTGCTATCCTTGTCTGAGGCTATCTCTTTGCTCCTCACTGTTATACATAGCAAACACCTAGACCTGCACACTTCCAGGGAGTCTCCTGTCTATGTCTCTGATCTCACCATAGTAGCACAGAGATTACAGAGGCACAGATGCTCCCTTGCCTGACTTTATATGGGTTCTTGGGATTCACTCTTAGGTCCTCATGCTCTCACAGCAAGTGCTTTATAAGCCAATAAGTCATTTCCCCAGCTGAGTATTCATTTCTTTAGGGAAAATTACATCTATATGGTAACAGATAAAATGTACCCACATATAATGTTTAACTACTTCATCCTTAAAAATCATAAAAATATTTGGAGATTTCAAATTATATTAAGATTATTCAACCATCACATCTCCTTTAGTAAACTTATTCAACCACAACTCCACATGCTAACTTGCTTAGTGTCATTTTTTTCCTTCTTCACAGCTTTTTGTTTTCATATAGCTACAGAGCCTAGCATTAGTCTATAGGTAGAATTTAAAACACTTGCCAACTAGTTAAAAAGAAATAAATTTAATTGAATGATTTAATATATAAGTTTATTTAAAAATGACAAAAAGAGAGCTGGGCATGGTGGTGCACACCTTTAATCCCAGCACTTGTGAGGCAGAAGCAGAGGCAGAGGCAGGTGGATCTTTGAGAGATCAAAGCCTACATAGTGACTTCCTGGCCAGTTATGGCTACAGAGAAAGATCCTGTCTCAAAAAAAAAAATTAAAAAAAAGAAAGATAAAAGAATAACTAAACATGTTAAGAGTAAGAGAAATAATAGCAGCTTCTGTCAATTTTCAGAACATGAAAAACAGCAGTAGAGAAATTCTGTTTCATTCACACATAGAACTAAGTTAATCAGTGATGGAAGAAAGCTGAATGCCATTCTAAAACACAGTGGCAATTTTTCCCTAATGAACCAGATGCACGTTAGTAATCTGACAATGAAGAGTAACCATTACTGTACTAATCTTTACTCCGACCTATTTAGAGATAAATTAAAAACATAAATCCACAAGAAGCCAATAGATTTTTGACCTATTAGGGAACAAAATGTGCAACTTGCAATAAATATGGCTAAATAGTGAAATAGGATATCACTGCATATAATTTAGACTAAAAATTCCCTAGAACTTCCTATACCCATTAGCATTTGGTTTAGCTTAATCACCAGACATTCTGATGAAACTGCCTAAAAAATATATTACGACAGAATTCTAAATTACAAGAGTCTACCATCTGCTCACTCACACTATGTCATCCAATGCATTCCTTGCTAACACATCATCAAAACTACAATAAAGCAAAAGGACACATTTAAAATGAATACTTGATAGCAATTTACATAATTTAATTTTTGAGATGCAAGTACTGTATCCTAAACATGTACGTATTCCAAAAAATAAATGTCTTCTATGGACTGAATGGTTACATTGCCCAAATTCACATACTGAAGCTTAGTCCTCAAAACAAAATAGGACACTGTGGTTATGATTCAGTTGTAATGATGGAGCCTTCATGTATAGGAGGCTCTTACATAGGAGAAAGCATTGAGAAGATAAGATGATGAACCAGAACTCAGGTCCTCAGCAAACACTAAACCTGTCAGTGCCTAGAACCTGAACTTTTCAAGTCCTCGGAACTGTGGGAAATAAATTCCTGTTACTTATACAGTTTATGCTCATTTTTTGAAAGAACTTGAACAGATTAAGATAGTGTCTAAACAAAAATTAAGGATATAAAAAAGTTAAAATAAAATCTTGCTTTTTTAACTAATAATAATTTTCTCCATTTTAACTGTGTGACAGTTAATTTTATGTGCCACTTTGACAACTGTCTGGCAAGATATATCCAAATCAGACTAGCACCTGAATGGGCTGACACTGTACAACACTTTCCCCCAAGAGGGGTAGACAGCATTCAATACACTGAGGGTGTGAATTAAACAAAAAAGTTAGGAAAACAAGAATTTCTCTCTATATGACTGCTGAATTGAGACATTAGCCTTTTCCTGCACATGGCTAGGACTTCATCAGTGGTACAGCTGGTTCACAGCTATGTATACTTCTACTGGAATTTAAGCACTAGCTTTTCTGGGTGTTCACTTTGCAGCTGGCAGGCAGATCATGGGGAGTTTCTATAATTTTATTAATAATTCTTTGACATTTTGTGTGTGTGCGTGTGTGTGTGTGTGTGTGTGTGTATGTGTCTCCTACTGGCTGTTTTATTGAAGAACCCTAACCCTATTACTCCTATGTCTTACTTTACTTAATTACTATTTCCACTAAAATAATTTCCATTAGGTAAATATTAATAAATATCTAAAAAGACAAGAAAATTTCAAACTAGTAATATCAAGTAATTATTAAAACTCAAAATTTTAGTGTATCTTATTAGAGCAAAGTATATAACTCAAAATTATATACCAATAAAATAGGTACAAAAGAAAAAGGGTTCAATCTAATGAGCTAATAACTACAAACCTTTCTCCAAGTTTTACTATTTTAGAATATAATCATACAGCTTAACTATTTTGAAATGTCACTGTTTACTGTATGCAATTTTTAGCCATAAATTTTTACATAGCTTCCAACAAAAAATTTTATTTTATAATTCTTCAAAAGTCTTTCCTCGGTTAAAGTAGTGGTACAGCAATACTGACATTTTAAGCCAGGAAATTATTTCTGGAAAATGTGTTGTATTCATTGTATGTTGTTTAGCCTCTGCATATGAAATGTGAATAGCCATCCCACAGCAGTGTTAATCAAAAACATTGCTAAAGGTCAGCTGTGAAGTAAAATTTGCCTTCGGTTGAGAACAAGTAATTTAAAGACAGATGAAAGTAAAATTACTGCTATCAATACCTCAGGTTAAATTTAAACATTAAGCGTGTAAACAACAGACCAACACCACAGCTGATACATGCCTGACAGGAATTCCAATAAATAATTTTAAGGCCCATCAATATAAGCCTATTTCCAACACTACAATAAATAACACATAAAGTTAAAAACATTAAAGCTATACTGTTTAAACTGTTAAGTGATGGAAATTCTTCAATCTCATACATGAAAATCATGAATAAAAGTTAGTAGTTGCAAAATGGAATACAGACTGACAAATCTGAGCAAAAACTGTAATGTGACTTTACAATGCTTCAAGATATAAATGATCCCTACACATTTTCTATTTTCATGTGTAAAGTCTTGGCTGTTTTTACCCAGTGATTAACTAGCAGGATAATAAGATAAAGCAACATGTTAATTACATCACCATTTACCCTTCAATACTAACCATGCTGCAATTACTAAGTGCTGAAATGCACTTCTTATCATCACACCACTGGCACCCATTTGTATTGGCAGTACAGCTAGCACAATCTGCATATCTATAACATCTGTCATCAGAAGCAGCTGCAACACAAATGGGAGATAAAACATGTTGGGCTGAAAAAGAAAATGCCGCACTTTGCAATGCACACACTTGTATCTACTTAAGATCACTAAAATATTTCTTAACCAGGAAAAAAAAGACATCAGTATGAAAATAAGTTTCTTTCTAGTTTGTATGTACAGGACTCATTCTAAATTTAGTCATTTTGAAACAGAAAAAGAACTTACCAATATTTCAGTAAAAGACAGTATTATAGATCTAAAGAAAATATACTACATGCTTTTACTATGTATAGAGTTTTGAGATTATACAGATTAGCACAATTTTGTTGTAGCATCCAAATTTATTAAAGCCTTCACCCAGTTAAAGTAAATAATTGTTATCTAAATCATAAATGAAAATACTGGTCGATAATTTTCATAAGCCTATTCAACATTTCATAATAAATTTCGAATTAGAACACTTGATCATCAAATTTTAGAATAAAATTTTTTAACTTTATAATGTGGACTGGCAGCAATTCAAAAAGAAAGAAAACATCAAATGCAAAATAAATCATCTCATTGATATCTTTGAAATGAATAATTCTGAGACAATA